AGTGCCTGAAGAACTATGGATGGAGGCTTGTAACATTGTACAGGAGTCAGCAACAAAAGCCATCCCAAAGAAAAGGAAATGCAAGAAAGCAAAGTGGCTGTCCACCGAGGCCTTACAAATAGCAGAGAAGAGAAGGGAAACAAAATGCAAGGGAGATAGGGAAAGTTACAGAAAATTGAATGCAGACTTCCAAAGAATAGCAAGGAGAGACAAGAGGGCCTTCTAAAATGAATAGTGGAAAGAAATAGAGGAAAATAATAGAAAGGGAAAAACCAGAGATCTGTTCAAGAAAATTGGAGATATTAAAGGAACCTTTTGTGCAAAGATGGATATAATAAAAGACAAAAATGGTAGGGACCTAACAAAAGCAGAAGACATCAAGAAGAGGTGGCAAGAATATACAGAGGAATTATACCAGAAAGATCTGAATGTCCCGGGCAACCCAGATAGTGTGGTTGCTGATCTTGAGCCAGTCATCCTGGAGAGTCAAGTGGGCCTTAGAAAGCCTGGCTAACAACAAGGCCAGTGGAGGTGATGGCATTCCAGTTGAACTATTAAAAATCTTAAAAGATTATGCTGTTATGGAGCTACAGGCCACTCTGATGTCACTGCTAACTCAGGCCTCTCAGAATGCCCACCACACCACTTCACACTCGCTGCCACCAATTGAAATGACTATTTTAAGAAGGACAAAGGTTTCCTTCAAAACAAAACAGGTTTATTGAAATAACAAAATAAAATATGACCGTGCAGCGAGGAATCTGTCCCAGAAAAGAGCAGGAAGCCATTTTTTTAAACCTGGCAGCCATTTTGAAACCACCGATCAGCTGGCCAAAAATCATCGTCTTGCGAGAATTGGTTCACGAAGCAGGGAACCGATCATCACAAAGCGAAATTGCCCCATAGGAAACATCGTTTTGCGATCGCAAAAAGTTCGTCGTAATGCGATTTCGTTGTTAAATGGGGCGCTCGTCTTGCGAGGCACCACTGTTCTTCTGCTTCATTGACTATGCAAAAGCCTTTGACTGTGTGGACCACAACAAACTATGGCAAAATCTTAAAGAAATGGGAGTGTCTGACCACCTAATCTATCTCCTGAGAAATCTAGATATGGGACAGGAAACAACAGTTAGAACTGGATATGGAACAATTGATTGGTTCAAAATTGGGAAAGGAGTACGACAAGGCTGTATATTGTCTCCCTGCTTATTTAACTTATATGCAGAATACATCATGGGAAAGGCTGTACTGGATGAATCCCAAACTGGAATTAAGATTGCCGGAAGAAATATAAACAGCCTCAGATATGCAGATGATACCACTCTGATGGCAGAAAGTGAGGAGGAATTAAAGAACCTCTTAATGAGGGTGAAAGAGGAGAGTGCAAAAAAACGGTCTGAAGCTTAACATCAAAAAAACTAAGATCATGGCCACTGGCCCCATCACCTCCTGATAAATAGAAGGGGAAGATATGGAGACAGATTTTACTTTCTTGGGCTCCATGACCACTGCAGATGGGGACAGCAGCCACGAAATTAAAAGGCACCTGCTTCTTGGGAGGAAAGTGATGACAAACCTAGACAGCATCTTAAAAAGCAGAGACATCACCTTGCTGACAAAAGTCTGAATAGTCAATGTCATCGAAACTACCAACATGAATTTGACCAAACTCCGGGAGACAATGGAAGACTGGTGTGCTCTGGTCCATGGGGTCACGAAGAGTCAGACACAACTTAATGCCCTATCAACAAGAATGGTTATTATTGATATGATGGCTGAACTTGATAAAGCCTCATGTCAACAGTAAATGATCCTTAAAATATCATTTGTGTGAATGTATGTGTGTTTATGTATATGTGCATAAGATACCTGTATCTGTACAGTACTTCCTTGAAAGTAAGACTTCCTTAATATCCATATTGTTAGATCACTGAGATTTGGAAAACCTGGCTTGCTAAATTTAATGAGATCCTCTTTGTGTAAAGATCAGTGTTTTAGGTATCCAGCTGCAAAGCCAGAACTTGAGAGTTCAATTCCCCACTGTGCCTCCTGTGAGTAGAGCCAGCCTGTGTAGCCTTGGGCAAGCTGCACAGTCCCAGGGCACCCCCAGATGAAAATACTAAACCACTTCTGAGTATTCTCTATACTTAAAACATTGAAAAGTGTTGCCATGAGTCAGACTTGACTGGACAGCACATGATTATTATGAATCCTTTTTTTAACAAGTGTCACTCATCAGCAATTATAAACAAAAACATGTGGGGTTTTTTTTTGAGCTTCTGAGCAGAAATAGTTAACAATTGTAATCTTTTGTAAAAAAAATCAGCCATAGCTGCAAGAACGTTTTGACTAAAGATGTTAACAATTGTAATCTTTTGTAAAAAAAAATCAGCCATAGCTGCAGGAACGTTTTGACTAAAGATTGTACTGTATTATCCCTTAAACACACTGGCAGAGAATGTAAACCAAGCTGATTACCAGCAGAAAAAATAGAAAAAATGTTTCATCTTCTCATTGCAAGCAATGTGACAGAATGCTATTTGTGTGTATGTTTTGGAAATGATGCTGGTAAGCTCCTTTTTTATGATACATGTTAGAAGTAAACATGCCTGGTTTTAGTATCGAAGCTACTAATATTTTCATTAGAAGCTAGCTAGCTTGAAAACAGGTTGAAGATGCTTAGAAGTGGTAGAATGAGTAATTTTTATGGACAGAATCTCAGTGGATGGTTGAAGAAATAATATAAACACAGACAAAGCAAGTAGAAATTACAAAATGTATTGGCTGAAGTAAAATGAAGTATATTGATGCCATTGCTTACAAAATTGTATAAAAGCAACTGTATTAGATAGATCTGGATATAGGAGAGGAGAGGAGATAAAAGATTTTATATGCTGGATAGTTCTGTACTCTATCTAGGGTAAGAGATACAGTACTATTTATTTGGTGTATGCTAATAATTATTGATTGATGAATGTGTGTATGGCTCTATTTAGATAAATAATATTTATATGCTTTTTACAATATACAAGTAGCTAGAATGCTATGTTTTTGACATTTTTTGGAATATATACTTTTTCATTCTTAAATCTCTTAATAAAAGAATTAAAACATATTAATGTGCTACCCAGTTTTTCTGTTCAAATGCAGGGATACAATTTATGGAGCAATCCAGAAGAATTTTTAAATAATGTATCTGAGTTTCACTAACAAGCTGTAAATGAATCCACAGAAGACACATTTTCCCTTAAGGTCTGTTCTGAGTATTTGGAATAGGATCTACGTAAGAAGGGAAGATTTGTAAGGACTTTATTCTGACAGGCTGATCTACCACAAATCACCTGAAAAATTTACTATTACCTCACCTACCTTTCACCTACCTCTATAGCAGGTGGTAGGAAGGAATCTGGTGGCAGCTGATGTATAAAGAAAGGATGCAGGATAAGTAAGTGGACTCATGGAGCTGAATCAGGACTCTGAGTAATATGTTAGGGTTTTGATGTATATTCCAAAGCAACCAGAATAAAGATAAACCCAAGAAATTTGTCTCACATTGGGTTTTTGTGTAGTACAGCTGCAAATTTGAGAATTAGGAAGAGACCCAAGAAGTGCAAATTCAGCTGAATATAAATTTGTCCTCTGAACATTTGTGTTCATTTTTGTTTTTGACAGCCTGAACGATCTCCTCCACCTGAAGAATATGAAATGATTAATAAATTCAGGAATCCCAGGTAAGACTATACTAGTTTACTTTTGAACTTCTGAATCACCTAAATGATCTTCCAGACCCAGTTTTTGTATAGCTTCAGCAGTGCAATAGGAATAATGTCTCTGTAGCAGCAAGTTGCCATTAATTTAAGAGTCCCTGCTTTGATTTCTGGTTGTATGTAACTTTCTGTCATTGTGCATGTGTCATATAACCCAAAATCAAAGCAAGAATTCTTCTATTAGTGGCAATCTATTACATCATGTGACATTATGCTAGCAGAACTATGTAACAGGATACCAACCTGTATTTCTGCTGCCTTAAGGACCACATTGTGTACTCTCCTAAAAAAAAAAAATCACTGACATCCTGATGACATTCCTCTTATTGCATCTTATATCATTTTTCCATACAAATTTCTGCACATTTTTGCTCCCTCTCAAAACCAAGATTTGTTTTTAAACTGCCATGAAACTTACTAAACTAATGCAGCAGCCAACAAAACACACAGAACACAATATACCAACACACTTCTCAATGCTGTAGTTCTTAAAGCGGTGATAGATTCCAGAACTCTCGCTTACAAATTGAGCTTTCTTTATAGATGGCTATGTGGCCCTACACTTCCCATTGCTAACTGGCCTATGTACAGCTGTTAGCCCCCAGAAGCAGTGTGAGCACAGGGGTCATGGTACTAGAAGGAGGAGGAAAGATGCTAGTGGAATTATGGGAATCCTGCCCCCTTCCCCACTAGCCATACAGAATTTCACATAAAAACTCAGCCATGAATTGTGACACCACCCTTCCAGAACCACTTTCTGTCCCCCAGTCACCTCTCTGCAACTCATCCTGTGTATAGCATAGCTCTTAAACACCTTGACATTACAACATGAAACCCAATAAATTCTGTGACCTTCCCTCACAAAATGACAATTATCAAGTGTTTCCTGATTAGCATGCTACTGAGCAGAATAAATTGCCAGATGAGGTGCAAGATACTGCCCTTTCTTTGTCAGGTTGGCTCTTCCTTCACAAGGCTATTGCACTTCTTCACATTGAACCCTCCATGCATTAATGTCTGAGTGACTAAAATCGAAAGACAAATAATATATTAGCAGTTGAGATGGGCACGAAGGACTTCCTGTCCCTGCCTCCTCATTTGAGTGGCCAGCTGCTGGAGGAGGCAGAGAAAGGAAGTCTGGGCTCCTGCCTGGACTGGAAGATTGCATGATTGAGAGGGAAGAAGCAGTGTGTGTCGGCAGGTCAGTGGGTGAGCTGCCAAAGGGGAGGGAGACAGAAACAATGTGCAGATGACTTATGACAAAGGTGCCTGTCTCTAATTAGCAGGGGTCATGATGAGACTATCCATTGTATCTGGCTGTTAAAGAGAAGCTTGTAAATGCTGAAATTCAAACATTATGCTGACCTTCTCTCTTCCTTGAAAATGAACAAAGTTTCACCTGGAGTCACTGTCAGGGTTTTGATTATTTTGCAGAGTGTAGTAAGACAAATTACAAAGTTCAGAACACCTAGGAAGCAGGGCAAAACCTTACCACTTTAGCTGTTTTCTAGCATTTTCCCTTTGCTATTGCCAGTCGCCTCAGGAGAAGAAAACAGAGAGCTGGATGAATAACATGTAGCCTGGTGAAAAAAGTCTGCTTTTTCTCAATCTTTATTTAAGCCAGCCTTAATTAAGGATCTCTGGGGTGCAGCAAGACTAATGCTAGCAGTGGAGTTAGTTTGTTATTTTTTTGTCTACTACAGTGGTGCCTCGCTTGACGATGTTAATTCGTTCCAGCGAAATTGCTGTAGAGCAGAAACGTCGTCAAATGAAATAAAAATAACCATAGAAATGTATTAAAAACCGGTTAATGCGTTCTAATGGGCGAAATACCTAATTGTCCAGTGAAGATCCTCCATACCGTGGCCATTTTCGGGTGCCTGTTAAGCGAAAAATGGCTCCTAAAAACAGCGGGAAGCCATTTTGAGCAGCCGGTGGCCATTTTGAAAACCCAACAATCAGCTGTTTTGATCGTCATAATGCGAAGAATTGGTTCCCGAAGCAGGGAACTGATCATCGCAAAGCGAAAAAACCCCATTAAAACATCGTTTTGCTATCGCAGTTGCGATCGCAAAAACATCATCGTGAAGCGGATTCGTCGTTATACGGGGTAATCGTTAAGTGGGGCACGACTGTAGTTCTAGATTCCTTTCGTGTGTGTTAGGTTTTGATGGTTTTGTTGTCATCTTTGAATTGATCCTGCTTGTTGTATTGTGTTTGTTTATCTACTGATGTTCCATGAAATGCCTTTTTGATCCTTTCCCCTCTTCAGACATGATGCATTCTGACCCACAATATTTAATGTGAAATTGATCATGGTACAATTTGCTGTGGAAATCTGTCTGAGTAACTAATTATTTGGCAAAAGGAGAGAGAGACACATAGGAAAGAGAGGCAGTTTTGGTAACATTTGGGTTTACTGCAGAGGTCCGTCAGAATGTCCATAGAGGCAAGCAGCATGTAGATTCTCACAAGGAGAATTTACATGTTGCTTGCCTCTGTGGACATTCTCTAATATGCCACGCTTATGCAAGAATGCCAGAGAGACAGAGAGAGAACAACATGAACCCATAAGATGCCTAATGGTTTTGGGCTCAGAATATCCCAGCCCATTTCAAAATGCTTTTCCTTGAGTTCTGATAAAAGAGAGATAATATATACAGTACTGTATATGTTTAGGAACTGGAAATAGGAAGTACTTCTGAGCATCTTCACTTGTATACATCTTATATATATAAGCTTTCTTAAAGCACTCAGTGATGATAACATATTATTTAGGGACTCTCCATTTATAGTAATAACAAGATATCAGTCTTTAGGCTGAGGTGTTTATAATGGCAGCTGCTTATTTACACTTTTTAGCAGAACATATATTGACAAGCACACCCAGTATATACAACAACAGCCTATGTGTGCTTGCTTCAGGTACTAACAGACAGCTCATCTCAGAAGTGTTTAGTGAAGGAGATCATGGCCTAGCACTTCCTAGACTGGGCCACAAAGGAAACGGCCATTCCACTGGGAGAATTACACAAATGTCAACTGTGCACCACGTTTGTCAGCTTTGCTTGCTGCTGTTTTTCACATCAGGTTAGTCTGCTTCTCCAGCAGAAAAACTGGCACAGCAAACAAACAGTACCCTGGGTGTGCATGTGTGCCCACTCCTTTCTAAACGTACATTTGCCTGTTATCTTGATCTGATGGTGCCCAACAGTCTGATTCAGACTAGGGTTGGGTGAAAATTTAGTATGTCTGCAGCCAGAACTTAGTAAAAGTCACAACAGTCTAATGTGGAAGAAAGCAAAACTGAAAGATTTGCCCACCTCTAGTTTAGACATGCACTGGCCTCTCCTTTAGCAGGCCAGATAAATATTTGTGTGCATATCTTCTCATTTCAGTATATTGCAAAAGGAAGGGTGGACAATATCAGGTGATGAGGGTGCTGTGTTGCCTTTTCTAAAGTCAGCAGAGCCCACAGCACGCCACTGCTATGACAGAATTTTCTGCTGCACTGCCTCAAACTCTGGAATATTATTTGGAAACAAGGGGGGGGGATAGGGGCCATGTGCCTTTTTTAAAAAAAATTCACACTTCTGGAGTATAACTTTAACATAAGGAACTCATTTCTCACATTTTTAAAGAAAATACTGGGAGAATTCTACTGCTGCCATTCTGCTGAAATTTGTTAGGATGGCAACAAACTGGGAGAGGGGCTGCAAGGCCTACAGGAAACAACATTAGACTTTCTGCTCTCTGTAGACTAGATTTATTTGTTCTGGTTTAATACTAAAGTGACCTTCCACACACTGGTGTGTGTTTTTTGTGTGTGTGTGTGGGGGGTGTTGTTTCTGTTTTTTTGAGAGGGGCTGTAGCTTAGTGACAGGAAGACAAACTGTCTACACAAAAGGCCAGAGGTTCTATTTCCTGCTTTTCCAGTTTAAAAATGTTCAAATCTCAGTCTTGAGCTACAAAAGACATCTGGCTCAAATATTAGAAAACCCATCAGAGGCAGCACTGATCAAAATGGAGGGAACAAATCCAAACTCGTAGAAAACAGCATTGTGTGTGTGATCCTTTCCCTCAAAAAATTAAGTCACAACTCTGGGTGAAATTCAGTATTAAGCCACAACTAGAATAGACCCATTGAACTAGTGGGGATTTGGTGATCTAACCCCTCCACAAATTCCACTGAGTCAATTGGTCTAATCTAGTTGCAAATTAGTACTGGATTTCAGCCCTGGAGTAGCAATTTTTCATGTTATATTGTATGGGTGGTGTATTGGAAGGACATGTACTCACTCCACCTGCCTGCAGATGAAACGCTTCCATCAGTGGCTGAAGGATGCTTTTGAAGTTCTAAAGACAAGGCAAATGAGAAGGCACCATCAATTTAATAAATAGTTCTCAGGCATGGATGTTATACAAGAGTTAAGATCATTGTTATTAAACTGATAATAGATCACAACTGCCTATTTTGGACCTGTATTTCAGCTAACCAGAACCAGCTCATCTAAGGGAGGAGGTATGAAAAGTGAAGGTCTCCTTGCTCACTCCCAGGAAACATTTCTAAGTTTATAAGGCAGCTGAGGAATTGATGATCTTAAAATGAGAGGCCAACATTTCATTCCTGGGCAAATTGATTGAGAGGGTGGCAGCTGATCTGCTGCAGGCATTCTTGGAGGAAACAGGTAGTCTAGATCCATTTCAGTCAGGGTTCAGGACACACCATGGACACTGAAATGGCATTGGCCACTCTGAGGGAGGCAAACAAGGAGAATGTAACCCTGTTGGTCTGCCTTGATCTTTCTGCAGCCTTTGATACCACCAACCTAGAGTGGTTGTATTGACCAGATAGGCAGGGTACAAATAGAATAAATAAATAAATAAACCATAATATCCTTCTGAGACTGCTCTCAAATTTGGGATTTTGGGACACTCAGTGGTCCTAGTCCTTCCTCAAAGGC